ATTTTTTTTCTTTTTTCTTTTTTTCTTTTTCCTTCCCTTTCCCTTCTCTTTCCCCTTGGAACCCAGCAGACTTGGGTTCCTTCAAACCCAGCATGCCTGGGTTCGGTGGAACCCAGGCGCTAGGTTTGCAAGGAACCCAGCATGCAAACCTAGCACACCTGGGTTCCTTGCGAACCCAAGCGTTGGGTTTGCAAGGAACCGAACCCAGCACACTTGGGTTCCTTCGAACCCAGCATGCCTGGATTCGGTGGAACCCAGCACGCTTGGGTTTGGTTCCATCGAACCCAGGTGCAAAAAATTAAAAAAAAAAAAAACAATTTCTACTTTTGTTTTTTGGATTTTGTTGTTTGATTGTAATGAAGAATTGATTGATGAAGACGAAGAAGGCAAGGTAAGGCAGTTGCTGGGTTCTTGTAGGTGCCAGGTTTGACGTTGGGTTTCATTTTAAACCCAACAGTTGCTGGGTTGGTGGAACCCAATGGCTGCTAAGTTTGAGCAGCTGCTAGGTTTTTGCAAGTGAGGTTTTGGGTTTCGTTTCAAACCCAGCAACCGTTGGGTCGAAGGATTCATTGAGTTCAATCTGTTGATTTGTTATGTTATCCTCGAATTTAATATTAGAAGGTGTTAGGGTTTGCAGAAGGTGAAAGGAAAGGGAGAAGAAGAAGAAAGGGAAAAAGGAAAAACAAATGAAGAAAAAAAAAAAGGAAAAAGAAATTTTTTAAGGTTTTTTTCTTGCCATCTCATTCTTTTGCCACGCTGTACATCCTAGGTGTCAAAATGCTTTTACATGTCATCCTTTTCCTGTCAAGTAACGAAACACGTAGGTTGATATTTAACGGAATAATCAAATTGGGGTAAAAATGGTAAACAGTAAGGACTAAATTGAAGATTTTTTTAGTTTATGGACCAAATTAAGGGTTCGTACAATAGTTCAAAAACCCAAATAGAGTTTTAACCTATTTATTAATATCAAGATTTTGGATAAAGTGCAACCTCCCTCCAACAGGATTTGATCTCTGTCCTTTCATATGAAAAAAACAACCTTTGTTTTTTATTTTTATTTTTTTTAAGCAAAGCATATTTTAACATTCAAGATGCATAAAAATATACTTATTATATAAGTTATATACTTTGTAT